TTTCTTGCTGTCTTGTAATTTACTTGGATAAGCCCCTTGTCAGCTGGAGGAAAGGCAGCTCATCATAATATACAACTAGAGCTTCATAAGCTACAGATGTCATTCACTCTAAGATCCTACCAGGACTGGAAGGGGGGTAAAAATAGTACCAGATGCACAAAAAGGATATTCTGAGTTACATCAGTAGATAAATTTGAAGCCAGTGTTTTATATGCCTCAAGATCCAAAATGGACTATTAGAGAAGCTTCCTCAAGGCTAAGGATGGTGCATGACATTGCTGAACCATTCAACACACTGCTGTTTAGACATGTAACACTGGACTAACCAGACAATCAGTTTAATCCAGGCTGCTGTTCCACAACACACAGCTTTCCTTTGTTCTGTTGCCTCACCGAGTTAAAATTGCTAATTCATTTATGCCTTTTATTAGGATGATAAGCCACACAAAGATCCCAGATGCTTTTCAGCAGCCAGTATACTACAAAGGGCTAGAAATACCTCTCTAGAGATATTCTTACCACCATAACCTTGTAGGAAGCTATCCCACCACACAGCAGCCATGTGAACTTCAATATGATGCCACGCAAGGAATTTTGGTTTTGACCATCGCTGTTTGGTGGTTCCAAAAGGGCTCTTTTTTCCTCCAGACTCTAAGGTAAGTGCATAATTATCACTGCTAAAGCTAAATAACTAAACCAAAGTTCTTCCAGATCGAGAATTTTCCCTTTTGTTTTCTAGTTTTACGAACACTCCTCCTCCTCACCCGCTCCCCCTCTGTCCCAGACAGCCAGGAGCGGAGCCAGGGTGCCCAGCTAGGCTAACAGCATGACTAAAGTGGCCGCAAATAGAGCTGGGAGAAGGCCACAGGTCTCACATGTGCTGTCCTCCAGAGCTGCTGCTGCTCCGCACTCCAGTGGCTACTTCTAGGCCTGCCAAGTAGAAGGAAGGAGTTACATTTACCCAACAATTTAGATACTGAGGAGACAGGCTTGCTTGTCTGTTGGGATGGGGGAGGGTGCGGAAGAGGAAAACTGAAGAGGAAAAATGGAAAAATAAAAACATAGAGTTTTTAAAGGGAATTTGTTAGACACCTTGGTGAAATTTCTTTTCCAGCCTGGCACTATTAGTTTGGTAGCCAATAACAGAAGCCTCCTTCATCTGTTCCTGAGTGGGGTTAAGGAAACGTTTCTAACAAATACTGGATCTACTGTTTCTCTTTCTCCTCTGATATTCCTCACTTGATGCTCAAATGTGTTTTTCAGCAGTACAGAACCAATGCCAAATTCATTGTCCCTGGTACAGAACAGAGGCAATGCTTTCTATTCTATCATTTAACACTCAAATTCAAGTTGTGAGACATAGTCTTTAACTCCACGTAAGTAAGAGATCAGAGCACAGAGAGCTCTACAGACCACCCTGACCTGCTGTCATTAGCTTAGAGCTAAAGGAAGAGCAAGGCAGGAGAACAGCAGCTTTTCTCACAAGCAGCCTGTGCTCTAGTAATACCTACCCAGAGCTGCCTCCCCTTCCAACATCCCAAAATAAACAGCCCTGACATCTCACGCTCTGTAAGTGAGAGCCCACAAGTTTTAGAAGACACAAAAATGGGACATTCTGAGAATAGCTATTCCAGGCGCACTGAGTTATTTTTAGCCAGTATAACATCAACTTATCATTAGATAAATTGAAGCTTTTTTTTTTTTTAATTCAGAACAGCTACACAACAATAGCTAAACTCATAGCTTTCTGCTACCTCAGTTACATTTTGCCTGCTTTCTTCCCTCCTTTTCCAAAGAGGCAGGATTTGTTTTGAGAAGAAGCAAAATCATTTGTCTTGGTTTCAAAATTAAAACGCACACTTCTTCTGGCTTTAAGCAGCAAGTGTGAATGAACAGTTACTGGCATAACACAACGCAGAAGATAACCCTGTCCATGCACGGGACATCGCTCCAAGCTGCATTTTTATCGTGAAAGAAACACGCCTTTCTTCAGGTCAAGTTTTGTGATCGTCGGTTGGAAGACTCGGATCTCAGCACAGAGCTTTATTTTAGCCGTGACACGGCTGCCACGTCGAAGGCTTATCGCGGTACTCCGGCCCCATCTCGGGGGGAAGGGAGGGTCTAGGCCGTGGAAGCCGGGGCCACATCCGCGGCCCGCGGGGTGGGGAC